GAGAGAAAAAAAAATATCATTATCAAATAATTAAAATATTCCAGATAATTTACTTTTTTCAAACGAGAAACGAGAATGAAATGAAAACTTTGCTCTCGAAACTATTACAATTCCAATTGTAGCTAAAACGGATCGTATCTCAACATGCGTATCTCACGTGCTCTCTTGACTACTCACTTGTCCTCTCGGTGTCCTATAACGATAACTATAAATATTAATTAAAATCACGGTACAATTCCATCCTAAAGTCGACCGTTTATATACGCTTTATATTCGCGCTCCTCCGTCTTGACCTTCTGCAATTCTTGCGGCCAGTTTCGGTTTCGAAACACATCGCGCGCTGTGATCCAGGATACAACAAGGCACCATTGTACACCACACGACCCCGTGGTCGCGGCTCGCGAGCGTGTGTTATTCGCGCATGCGCTCGGTTCACGGGTATTAAAAGAGCCACGATAATAATGCCGACGATGGCGTATCTTTTTTAACAGACTCGGCTAGATAAGCATTCATTAATGCTTGCGTAAGTTATTTATACTGATATGCGCGCAACACACATGCGTTTATCTCGTTGCTCGGGCCATCCCAAGGCATTGCACACACCACACACAGCACGGGCCCGATCGATAAATGCGTATTTCCTGATTACACCGATTCTGCCGATGTTTTTCACGAGTTCTATAAAACGGGCTTGGACAAAGAAATATATAAGCATTTATTTCCTCGTTCCTGGCCGACGGATGATTAAACCAGAGACGCGATTTCATTTTTCTTTTCATACTTTTGTTATCGTTGTTTCAAACACATGGGGTTATCTTCCATCGAGCCCCCTCCTCTTTGTTCTTCAACCGATGAAACTCTTTCTCTTTGCATCGAGCAAAGATACTTTTATAAATTTTTTTTTTTTTTTTCCTTTTACTTCTTCGAATAATTTAATTTCTTCGGTAGGGTAAGAATCTGTTTTAGAATTTTTTTTAATTTTAATTACATTTATAAAACATAAACGTTTAATTCTTTTGATATGTATATATATATATATATATATATATACCCATATTTCGGTATTAAATGAAGTTATATAAATGATGATGATATTGAAATGAAAAGAAGACGTGCTAATCGACACATCAACAAAACCTATCTAACAAGCCTTAGACTTTAAAAGAATAATGAAAGATCGGAAATGTATATATTTGTTGAAAAAGGATAGAATTACGTTTTCTAGAAAAATTATCCAATGCCACGCGGTTTTAAATAATTTAAAAAAAACGTAAATTGCAAAAACAAAGACTAAAGATGCAAATGGAATGGAAAAATATTTAAACTTCGACGCGTTAGAATTTCAAATATATACCAATTTTCCATTAACACAAAAGTTGCAAAATTTCTGTCTCTTGCCAGAATGCAATGTTAAAAAAAAAAAAAACTATCACATCCACTGTTATTAAAAAGTTTCAAAAAAGAAAAAAAAAACACGGTATAAAAGACACAATGGCGAAATACAGAAGATACAATAGTTTGGGGAAAGATAATGAACGAACAATGCGAACGATGTAATATCATCAATCTGAAAAGGAAAAATGAGAAACGAGCCTATGGATTTTCCTAGAAGCTGAACGAGAGACTCGATCAATCCGAGCTTATTATCATGCTTAGACAAGTACTGAAACAAGTTTCTGCATCCGATTTGCATCTTTTAAACAAGTAGACAACTTGTTAAATCTATCCAATTTCCGCCTTTTCCGCAAATATCACTATATACAATTTATGCATATTTAATAATAAATTTGAAATCCACTACTTATTTCTTCTTATTTCATAACTGGAAATGTTTGCCCATTCATAGAATAAATAATTAAGATAAAACATGCCAACTTGGAAAATTAGATATATCTCTCGTATATATAAATATTTTCATTTCTTTCGATGCTGAATTGCAGATCAGATCATTGGTCAAAAAACATTTTCTTTTCCTCGTATTTTTCGTACGAGAATATTCCATTTCTTGGTATTTGATTTTGTTTAAATACATTAAAAGAGCAGTCATTTTTCAGGAAAAAAAAAAAAAATAGTAACAGAAAATAGTAACATCATTTGAAATTAAATTTGTAAAAAAAAATTAGATCGAACAATTTTTCGAATCTTAAATTTTCTTTGATCAGATCTCTCAATGAAAGATAAAAAAAAAAAAAAAAA